AAGAACTTTAACGAATGTATAAGAAACAAATGCTAAATTAACCCGTAAAAATGATGTAAAAAATTGTGGAGTAATGTCCCAGAACCTGGAAATAAGTTGTAGATGAATTCTGGAAATTTTGAACAAAAAAATAAATAAATAAAAATAGGTGAGGTCTGCAGGGATCGAACCCGAGACCTCACCAAAGTAAGCCTTAATAAAAGAAATGTGCCAGATGGGGCTCGAACCTGGGGCTTGGGGGCCGGCAAAATTCGCCAAGAAAAGAAAAAAAAAAGGGGGGGGGGGGCTGGGGGAATCGAACCCTCGCCTCTGTATTGCGCGAAAAAAAACAAAAAAAAGAGAAGGAAAAGAAGTGGGGGCTGGGGCGATCGAACATGCGACCTGGGGGGAGGAGGAGGAGGAGAAAATTAATGAAGAAAATAAGTGGGAAGCGTGGGATTCGAAACCACGACCTCCAGCTACGCCCGAAGGAAGGAAAAATGGGGAAAAAGGAGACGCGAGGCGTGGGAATCGATCCCACGACCTCAAGGCTGAAGGAGGGGCGAATTTAATTAAGAAAAGAAGTGAGGCTGTGGGGATTTGATCCCACAACCTCACTGTTGCACGCCCCATTTAATTAAATTAATGATAGAGGGGCTGTGGGGGTTCGAACCCACCACCACACAGCCTCCTCTTCAGCGAAAAAGAGAGGAAAAATAAGGGGTCTTTGGGGGTTCGAACCCACAACCTCCCTAATGAAGCGATTTTAATTAAAAAAAAGGATTTGAATTAGAATTTTATTAAAATAGAAAATTAATTAATTCATGAAAATGTTGAGATTTAATTTAGAGTTCTAATGTCATAAATATTAGAAATAAAATCAATGAAAAATATAAATGATATCCAAGTGATTCAAGATTTGGGTTCCCGTGCCCAAACCTCCATAATGATACATAAGTCATACGTGAGTAAAATATTCAAGAATAATGTCATCTACTTAGATCAAAAATCAAGATCTTGGTATATTTACAAGATACATAAGTCTTGTAATACATAATCTTAGGAAAATAAGAATCACTTAAAGAACTATAAATGAAGCCTCATGGCTTGTATGTATAGACACATAAGTTTAACATACGTTCAAGTATAAGTGAACTTAAGATATACGTAATGAAATGAAGAATGAACATTCACATAATAAGAGGTGAGTAACTATGAAAAATAAAGGTGCTAATAATGAAGAATGAGGTGACAATCATGATGTGAGGCTAATGTATATGATGAGAGCAATCTCAAATGAGCCTAAGTAAATGTTATCAATACGTACTCACCAATGAGAGTGTAAGATAATGAAGAGACCAGTCTCTATGAATACTCTAATGAAAATATTGAGTTTAAAACACTTAATACTAATGATCAGATGAGAAATCATCTATTGAGCTATGATGTCCTCATACTAGAAGCCAACTTCCATGATGTATGAGTTGAATGTAATGGAACTTTATACCGAGCACCGATAGGTTAGCGATGAGCGGTGATGCCTTCTTTTAGGAAGGGCGGAGGTTCACGTAACTCTCATGAGATGAGACTGTCCGGCTTGCCGGGTATGGGTCTCCATACATCTCCTAGTCTTTGAACCTACATTGCCACTATAGGGATCTGGCGGGGTTAAATTCTCATATACGCTAGCATGTTATTGAATCGCTTTCGTCGGTGATTCCACCTATTTCGGTGTGGGGGAGACATTGGATTTCATGATTCTCACATGATGTATGTTGGTTAAAGTTAAAGTTCCCAATGAATGAATGAGGACAGCCTCAAATGAATCATACAAAGAAATAAATGATACTGAAGGTGTTTTGATAGTATAATCAAGAGGTGAGCTAGATTAAGGTAATGACATTAGGTTATTCCTGATCATTGCACAGCAAACCCGATGAAAGTCTTAAACTACATCCTAGGTATAGCTGGTGCTCGCACTGGCCTATGAATGAATTGAAATGAAATACGTATGAAGGAATGAAGCAGACTCTGTGTTTGCTAAAGAAGGCTCCCTAGTTGAGGTCCCATATGTTGAGCCCTCATTTTGGAAAGTCTTAAGGTTAAGTCTACGATAATAAGGTCTCATGGTATATGAATGAATAATATGAAAGAAACTATGTGTTATATGTTGTGTGCTATATGAAGATGTTATGTGTTGTGTGCCCTACGATGATTATAATGATGCATGTCACTCTCATGGCATAACTTCCCCAATCTCAATTTAGCAAGTCCACTGACTTGACTTCCAAACATCATGTGGTTAAGAAAGAGCTCTTCTTCCTCATGCATGTCCCTGGTGTGTGCTTGCATATACCCATACTTAATACAAGTGTGTACTAATTCCATACAAACATCTACTTTTAGGTGCAGGCACAGGTGGACGGTAGAGCTACAGGTTCGTTGTTGCAGCTGTCCGACGTCAGCATTCATCTGGAGTTTGGTAGGTCCTCATGCTTTCGAGGATGCTACTGTTTTTTACATTCTAGCGTAGTTTTAGAGTTGAGCTAGTGGAGCATGTTCCCCTAGCGTTTCTTTCCTGTTTTGGTTCAGACTTTGTATAGGTGCTATTTTGGCTGATATACAATTAATACTTAATGAATTATTTCTTTCAGTTGCTTATCTCTTAAATGTTAGGTGGTTGATGATGAACGATTACGAAATATTAAGAATGTTTAGCAATTATGATTAAAGAATCAAAAATTTCAAACTTTTCGCTAAAATTAACCTATGTAAAGTAAGAATGACGTAAGTAGGCTTGTTTGCGACCTCTGAGAGGTCAACGACGCCGGTCTCCTCTGGGGTCTAGATTCCGATCGTGACACATCTTTATCAAGAACCCACTTAGTCAAGCTTCCTCCAAAATACGACTCAAATTTTTCAGAAAATACATTCTTGCATCAATTTCCTTCATACCCTCATAAATTTCCTGAAAACTATTTTTATCAATTTCATAATACCCATTTTAGGAAATTCATAAAAATACATTCTTGAATTGGACAACTTTCGAATACGATCCAAAGTAACATCAAATCAAATGCCTCTTTTCCGCTCTTCATAACAAGAGTGAGGTTGTTCTTGATGCTCTCATGAGTCTTCTTGGTCTTCTTTCCAGCTACCATCGGGGATCCTGGTGAGGAGGAACTACATCGGAGATGGAGGATTTGAAGAAGCAATTTATGTCAACGGATTAAAATTATAAAACAATTAAGTAAAAAATATCCTTCTTCTTCACCTACTATTCTGTTCTTAACATCTTGAGTCCACTGATTAACCGCGGTGAGAGGGAGGATGTTTGATTTCTCCGTCAAAACTGGTGACGGCTTCTCGGTGGATGTTAGTCAGGAACAGTGAAAATTGAGAGAATAAAATGTATAGCGTTTTACTTTAAAGAACTAAGTAAAATTTTATTATTTTACCTTTTATCAAATAATTTTAATTAATCATTTTAAAAAATAATTATGACATGACACTAATATATATGACGTCGATATGACATGTCATTTATGTAAAGGAGAGTGAGCTACACACATGGTTTAAGGGGATTAAAAGTCTCATTTTAAATGAGTCTAAAGGTTCAGTTTACAAATGGTTAAGTAAACGGTCTAGAATATAAACTGATACTAGTATAAGTGTCCATTAGACCATTCCGCTTAAATATTATATTACAAATGTTTTACCATTTATAAATAAATATTTTCTCAATTTATATAAATACTTGAATTTCAGAATTAAGTTACTTTATTACCTTATTTATATTAAAATTTTAATTATTATAGACTAGATATTGATAAAAAAACTATAAAACATAATTGTTTTATTTTAAATTTTGTTAAATAGAAAAATAGTTAAAAAAAAACTTAACTAAAGTTTGTACTCACTCCATTATAATTTATGTAATATTTTTTTTTATAATAAATTGTAAATATATTACCTCAACAAACAAGAAATAACAATCTAACCCCCTTCCTGGAAGGTTATTGAACTACTAATGCCTCAGTAGGTAACTATATTGCCTCATTTCTATCCTTCTAATTGTGTATTAAATTCCTATAACTATAAGCTCTTTTTATTCTTTTTTGGCTATTCTTTCCTGCACCTCTTTTTTTATTTGGTTGCTCACCTACACAGCTTGAAGCAACAAATTCTTGAAGTGCTTCCAATTCTTAGCTTTCCATATATGATAAATCACCGCTCTAAAGATCGCAGATTTATATGATGTTTATCTGATTTAAAATGATTTTTTTAAAAAAATATTTTTAAAATTCGTGATCTAAAATAAATTATAAATGTTCATATGACTATAAATTTTTCAACTAAAAATAAAATGTATATTTTAAAGTCAAAATATTGTTAAATATATTAATACATCATTCTTTTGAAATCGACTACACATAAAAATATGTCACATAAATTAAACTTAAAATGACATAAATTTTCATAATTTTAAGAGTTAATTACATTATATCTCTACTCTTTTTTCAAATTACAAAATTTGTAGATTTATCAATAGACATGCGGATATATCGGTCATGATACATTGTTAATCAGGGAACTTGTTGACACATAGCTCACGGATGAATCAGAGAGAAGAGAGCTATATTTATGAATAAGAGAGGAGAGAACTATATTTGAGAGGGAATATAAATGTACCCAAGAGTAGAGAGATAGCTATATTTGAGAGGGAATACAAATGTACCCAACAGGAGAGAGATGTATCTATGACTATGAGACGACAGAGATGTATTCAAGAGGGGATGAAGATGTATTCGAGAGAGGATATGTATGTATTTGAGAGGAGACAGTAATATATCTGACAGAGGAAAGACACGTATTTGATAGGAATTTTTATAATTTTTTTAAATATTAATTCTTTTAAGAAATTATAATAAAATAATATGTGGTTTTAGGTAAAAAAAAATTAAAATTATAAAGATAATTAATTATATTAAACCGGTTTGAGGCTTCAACTATCTAGTATTTATACAAGAAAGAAGAGAGAGTGTGGAACATTACAGAATAGTATGGGAGCGATAACATTGAGTTGTTTCGTTAACTCCATTGGAGGGGAAGCCCCAAATTCAAGTAATGCCCTTCCTTCAAAACCTAAGCTGTCTCCTCTCCTTTCCTTTTCAAAGCCATCTTGGGTCGTCAGAACTGAGGCAAGTTAAACCCTTTCTGTTTTTGTTTCCTTATTTCTATCGTTCAATTTATTCTCTTTGGGTTGGACAATTGTTTATTCAACCGTTGAATACAGGGCAACGGTTATAATGGATTGAATAACAATAACCAATCCAATCCAAATTTGCTTGGTTAGGTAATGAGTTACATTGGGTCAAGAGTCGAGACCAACCCAATCCAATTTTTACTAAATTTATTTTTTTAATTTGTTTTTATAACTTTTTAGTACTAAAGACTATATACAAATTCGAATTTTTTAAAAACATTTTGATAAAAATTTTCATGAGTCAATTTGGGTTACCTATGGACTCAATTTTTAATGCATTGGTGGGTCGAAACGAGTTGAGCTGACCTGCCCAAACTTAAACTGGTTTGGCAGGTTGAACGGGTTGGGTTTGATTTTGCCATCTTAGTTGAATACTTGCTTTTCTTTCAGAAATTGAATGGCGGGTGCGAAATTAGTGAAGTTTGAACCCTTAAACAACTCCTCCATTTTTTGGGTCAGGGATTCAAAATCTATATATATACACATTAAAAAAAAAATACCTTATATATACGGTGTAATTTGTTGCCAAGGGGTTTGGGTTCACCCTCTAGATCTTATATGGTGATAAAGTTTATTTTGAAGCTACATTGAGCATTATAATCTTAATGGTTCCAAATGAAGCAAGAGCGAATATTGAGCATTCATAATAGCCAATAGTTGTTGCTTTTGTATTGAAGATAGTCTAATAGAACTTAATGCAGTGTAAAAATATTGAAACTTGGTTCGGATACTCTTAAACAGATTTTCGTCACTGCTCTTAGTTTCAAGATTTATTTTTCACTTAATATTATATATAGTTTATCAGAACCTACTCACAAAAAAAATATGGTTCTTCACAATATAGACAACACAACATAACTTTGTGCATCTGTGTTAAAACAATTTTTACTCTCATCGTTGTTTCATGCGACAAATTACTGTGATGAACTCAATTAATTGAAACTCAGATCCTTACAATATCATAGGAGAAGAATACAAACGGATTCAAATTTAACCAGTAAATCTGTCTATGCATTTAGTGGAGAATTTATATGGTGATACTGAATCAGAGACTGCATCTCTTTGCTGAAATGTCATAGAGAGTATTGGAAAATTTGATTGGAACGATAACCCTTAGAAGAGAGTCACTTGTTTATTTAAGTCAAAGAGAATACATTGCATTAGTGTTTATCACGAAAGCTTTTATTTTTTGCTTTGCTAAGTTATTTGTATTCAGGGTCTTGCCAGTGGGCAAGAAAAGATTTTTTTTTTATAATTTATGCCATTACTCATTAGGCAACATCCACAAACTTATTTCAAGGTCTAACTATCACATTTTAGGAATGAATAAACCTCAACGCCATTTGTTTTATGGTGGTACCTGGACTAGCATACTCACTATAACACTATGTATGTACTACTTCCCACCAGCATAGGTATCAGGTAACTCTACTCACCAAGGATTAGGGAGATACAAAGAAGTCGCCGAGTTTTCTCTTATATCTAGGGATTTGACCCCTAGTCCCTGAGATTTGCGCCCACTTAATTGACCTGTAAGCCAACATCCCTGGTTGCTAAGATACGGAAATGATAATGTTTGAAGTTTGGACTTTGTAGAGAAAATTAGTTATGCTATTGAGGATTGAACCATTTGTGGTTTGGGGGTGACTGTTGGATGGATAATGAAGAAGAACAAATGTTGAGAACGTGATAAACCTGTTTGTATATTTTCTTTGCATCAGAAATTTGATTGGGTGACACCTCTTATTATTGTAATACTTATTTTGAAGCCGTTTCTACATAAAAAATCTTAATAAAAGTTAATATGTGAAAATGTCTTGGAACATTGTTTCGTCTTGCTGTTTGGAGTTGTTAGACATTTAGGGGTTGTTTGGTTGGGAACAGGTTATCCCATGATTAATTATCCTGTGATTAGATATCGTGGAATAACTTATCCCACTATGTACATGGGATAACTTATCCCATCACTATGGTATAAATAGTGGGATAAGTTATTCCCAAACATGACAACCAAACAAGAACAAAAAATATTATCCCAGGACTATTTTCTTGTCCCATGACTATTTATCCATATTCCTCACGCCAAACGACCCTTAGTTCTAAAGTTTAAGTAGGCATTTGGACATAAAATGTGATATTTGAATAAAAGTAGTTTGAAGGTAAGTTGAAAAACTGTATTTGGAATCAAAGTTGTGTACATGCATTTGAGGTGAAACTCATCTGCCAATTTTTTTTTCAAAATAATCAGTCCAATATATAACCAAATGCTGGTTGTGAAATGTTTGTTATTGGAAAAAAGGAAAAAGTTCTCATGGACAAATGACTCCTAAGTATGGTATATTTCTGAACATATTCTTTCGTAATAGCTGCTCTGACTTTTAATAATCAGCTGCTTTGACTTTTAATAATCATTTTCATGGATAGTGGAACCGGAGATTGGTCCAACTTCTAGGTGGTTACAACATTGCTTCATGTATTCATGCAATGAGTTAATTTGGTATGAAAGTAAAATAGAAAATAGAGAGATATAGTGAACTTTGTCTCCATAGTAAATTAGATACCACATCCCTTTTCCGCAGCGTTACAGTAAAAATTGCAAAATTTGAGATGGTAATCCAGTATACCGGATTAAGAATTGCATATCGTCTAGTCTTAAGTTGGTTTGAATCGCCTTCTAGTATCAGAAGATTGATCGAGCATTTTAAGATTTGTTTTGTAGTATATGTATCATTGAGTTAGTGATTTGGTTCGTCGGGAAAAAGAGTTTTGTTCTCTGTTTGGGCTAATTGGTCAGCAAATTGACAACTTAATAACACTTACTTTAAAGTAAGTAATGTTTAATACTTCGATAATTGGGCTTCGGTTGAACAGTCAAATGTATCATGGATTAGGACAATCAAGTTCTGATCCTGCAGTATGAGACAGACATCTATGCTTATTCCACATGCATTTGGAACTTTTCTGTTGTACCGTTATTGAATGTAAGCTACCTTTTTTATCCTTATTTCAATGTAAACTTTGTTGCAGTCGAATGTTCGCAAAGAAAGAAGAAAGCAGCCAGATCCTCCTTGTGTTGTATGTAAAGGAAATGGCAGAGTTGAGTGCTACCATTGCCATGGCAGAGGTTCCTCTCTCTCTCTCTCTCACACACACACACACACACGCAAAAGACAGAGTATCTTACAAACTAAGAACTTATGTTTGCACTGGGACATACATCTGATGCTATTTAGATCTCACAGTTAAAGATGGTATAATTTTTTTTCAAAATAACAACATTCACTTGTTAATAATTAGTTTTATTAAGCAACTATGTAGGTAATACTGAAAATTTTCTTTTGTACATACTTAAAATTCAAAATAAAAGAATGAGAATAACTTTTTTTGGTATCCCCACCCACCATAAAAATAATTCAAATTAAAAGAATATGAACACGTAAGTTCATTTCAAGTTTGAATCCTTGATATCCTAATTAAGAAAAAGTGATTAAAAACAGTATAAAAAGATGGATTGAACAAGACAATTAGATAATTGATAGAAAAATTAATATTGATTAAAAATAATAATCTTTTTTTAGATTGACAATCAGTCTGGGCGAATATCAATTTTAGTTAGATCTCCAGTTATGAATTGGATTATAATAAATTGAGGGTTGATTTAAAATATGCCAATAGGAAGATATCATGAAATTAATATTCTTTTGAATATTATTTTCAATTTTATCGGGTCAACATATGAATCATATGTAGTTTTTATAGTTGATTTGAGAAGGAATTAAGTTTAGACCAATCAGATTAGGCAACACAATAAATAAATATTTAATAATTTTACTTTAGAGGAGTTGTTAAAAATGAGGACAAATATGATCCAAAGGTTTACATTGAAAGTATTATTTAGCCAAAAGGTTAATGTCAGGGATATTGAAGGCGAACGGTGGATGGAGGGTAATTTGTACCAATTAAAATAGTTGAGCGGCATTTTAGGCAAAATAGGGCTTGAAGTACTTTTAGTTCCCTAATTAGTTTGGATTTTGGTAATTAGTCTACTAGAACTCCTTAGTTACCTACTCTCTGAAATGAACTATTTTCCCTCCAAATAGTTTCACAAATACGCATATTAATATTTATGTATATGCTCCATGATCTGGTTAATTTTTCTTAAATTGACTTCCTATAAAATTCACTTGATGCAGGGAGGACTAACTTTTTGGACCTAGAAATGCTTCCAAGAGGAGAATGGCCAAAATGGTGAGGTATTAAGTTATTCAATTTCTCCACATTGTAGATATTATTACTTTGTAAATACTTGAGCTGCTGGGGATCCCATTATCTAATGCTCACTTCTAGGTGCAAGAGTTGTGGTGGAAGTGGGCTTGGATACTGTTCTCGTTGCCTTGGGACGGGTGAATACCGATATATAATGGGCTTTCATTTCATGAAACGGGATGATGAACCTGAAGGTAGATATTAGTCAAGCTGACATTGATTAGGGACTAGTAGTCCGCCAATATGCTTCTAAAAGATTAGTAGTTGAAAATTTCAGTCTAGATATGTAATGAAATGTCTTGTTTGGACCTTTTTGGCTGCAGTTTGAACCAAACTGCTCCTGGAAGAGCTTCAAACTGTGGGATGATGTACCAGGAAGAGCAAGCTTCAAGTTCTACATAATGTAACTACTAAAAAGAGATTGACATAGTGAAATGACATTTGATGTAAGTTAACCTGCTGCTAAAGCTCGACTGTTAGGCTGATAGCTTCTAGAATGCTATATTCTTGGAGCATTATCTCAGGTGCATCTTTTGGCTTTTGGAAACAGTCCAGCTAGAAATATTCCTTCTATGTGGGAATTTATGTTAGGACTTATGAAATACTGCCTCCTTTTTCCGGTTACTACTATCCGCGAATGCTTGTTCTCGCGACTAAATAAAGACAAGATGTGCTCTAAAAACATGCTAATGGCCTCCCAGGATATTTATAAGAGTTTCCCTAATAATCATTTTTTATCATTATTATTGTTTGATATGCGACATTGCAGGAGAGACAGAGATTCAAGAACTTACCGTTGTAGCGTTTGTCTCTCGCGAACTACTTACACAACTTTTGTTTGTACCTTTCACTATATAGCCAAACTTATATCTTGATTGTGCTCATGCCAAGATGGAATGTCAATGGTGCCCTTCGTGGTTTTTCACCAATAAGACATTTTCATCTCATTCTCTCAATTTACTATCGTTTTGTAGTGCTCGTGAGGTTTTTCACTCATTAGACTAGCTCATTTTTCTTCATTTCTTCGTTGCGATGCATCATACGTCACAGTATCATGTATCAATCTTTGGAGTATTGAAGAACATGATTATCGTTTTATTGAGTGATTTGACCGAACCCCAATGAAGGGTTGCCTACGTATTCTCTCAGGAATCAGGTTGAATTTAGTTCAATAAATCAAGAATTATTTTTCCTTTTCTTGAAAAAAAAATCGTTCATATGTGATGATGTCTTGACTTTAGTTGGTACCAACAATTAGTATTATGCATATGAATCACATTTAACTACTTTCAAACAAATATCAGATCAACTTTGAGTAATCCCTATAATTTCAAATGGTACCTCAAAAACCTATTCAATTATTTACAAGATCAATTCATCTTGCTTCAATTAAGGACTTCAAATTATTCATATACTCATGTTTCAAGTGCCCTTACAATAAATAAAGTCATATTTCACACACAATAGAAATATTTTGATCTTAGGACGTTTTAAAAGTCATTAACACTCGGAAAGATATTCAATGGATGAGCTTGACATTCCATATGTTTGGCCCTTATGTAAGGATCTACTAATGTGAGAACACAAAAAAATGAGGTCAAATAGGACTTGTCATTAGCTTGTAATGTAGGCTTAGGAAAATTTAGAATATTCATTAGGAATAAAATGTTTGTTTTCTCCTTAAAATTTGCACAACTTTCAATGTTTTTTTTTTCCCTTTCTCATTTGACCGTTGTTTTCTTGAAAGCTTCTTGTTTATTTATTTATTTTCCTCTCATTTTCTCCTCTTTTCGTTGGAGATTTTTATTTTCCATTTTTTCTTTCTAGCTTTTCATTTTTTTTTTTAAGTTTCACATATTTGATCTCTTCACTTTGTTATCAAACTTAGATCTTTGGCACTGTGTAAATAATTGATATCGCTCAAGGAGGTGAGACCAATAAATAGTGCATTCATGCACTCCAAAGGATATATATTAAGATGTGGTTATTCAAATAAAAAAGTTTTAGACTCAAAATGAAAGTTTTATGGATAACATGTCATTTGGTAGGCTTGAAAGACAATCTAATCAAAGAAAACCTATAATCCTTTTTCAAGTTAAATGTTGCTCAATATTTCGTCTCAACCAACATTCAGGCCAAGTTCTAGATCAACAAAGTTATGTCATTGAATTTTATATCTAAAGCTCACTACACAATGCATTTGAAACAACGAGGTCGAATTTATTTTTATCCATAACTTCAAACAAGAAAATTTCTCAAGTATTACATAAATATATTGAGAGATACCAGTAAAAGTCTATAGGTCACAACAAAACTGATCTTTCTTGCCAAATAGTTTAACATCTTATTATTTTTCTTATCCATAATCATAAACATGTTGATACCAACCAAGTTAGAAAAAAATTTAGATAATTTATTTTTTATTTTTTTGCCCTAGTTTATGTGTTTAAGATTTTTGATATTTTTTTTTCTCTGTTGGATCGAACCTCACAATAAGATTGACAATGTATCTTCTCGAGTAAAAATGTTTTTGTTTTGTTTTATTTTTAAGGATAAATTCTCTTTTTAATGGATAAATAAATTATATCATTTTTATTTAAAAAAAATATTTAATTAAGGATAGAAGAGAATTTTTTTTTCTGTTGTTGTGATTTTTTTTATAAGGAAGAAATTTTTCTTTCATTTCATTAGTTATCATAGATTTGGTTTATATACAAAGAGCTTTCCAAATAAATACATTTTCAGATATCACATAAAATAGTTTAGGTGGTCAAATAAAATTAGGGTATCTATCCTAAATGGATTCAATTATATATCGAGCCTCATTAAATTAAATACAAATTATTCAAATGGGTGAAACCTAATAGGGATAATCATATCTGATTTTAGTTTCAACAAGGTTAAACTTGTGGAGAAAAATATCTAGATTGGCTGTAAAACGAGCAGATAACTCGAGTTAGGGAGCAACAACGTACCGGTAGCAACACTTTTCGGATTTGTGCATGGGTACCCCCTATCCTAAATATAAATATGTGTGACTAAAAATCCTTCACCATCGACCGAAGATCCACTGACTATTTTGATAGAATTGGGATGCGCCGTCGCAATTACCATAATATAATTATTGAAAACTCAAAGAGATGCGCGGAAAAAGACATTTATATGCAGTTCAAATAATATCAGACAATAAATAAGTAGACAATTAGCACATTAAGTCTACAAAGATAATATCCAAAAATATAAATAAATAAATAAAAGTCATACATGAATCAAAATTAATAAGCTGGTTTTCCCCAGCAGTATCGTCATCTGTCATAACCCTTATTTTCCCTCAAAATTGATTTGTTTTGAAAGAAAAAGAGTTTTCCTATTAAAGTGACATTTTGAGAAGTGATAATTTTACTATTCAGAGTCGCCACTTGAAATTGATTTTGGTGTTCCAATTCAATTTATTTAAATCCCTAATTAAAAGGAAATTTGGCCTATTTTTATTAGTCTACAAACTAGAAATTTGGGTAAGAAATTTTGTTGACCGAGGGGAAGGTGTTAGGCACCCCTCAAGTTCCGTGGTTCTAGCATAGTCGCTTTATTCACTTTAGTATAACTTAACTCAATTTTTGAATATCATATTATTAGCTTAATAAAAAAATGCTATTTATTGTTATCTCTGAGTTATTTTAAACATATTTAAAACTGTCTTATTTATTTAAAATCTATTTAATATTTTTTTTTTTTCAATACATGTCCATCTGTTTGAAACTTGAAACATCCATATTATCTTTTCTCTTTTTTTATTTTTAATTTTTTTGCGTGTATTTATTTTTTAATAATTTTTTATGCGATTAAATATATAAGAATCTAATAGTTAGGAATTAAAATTTATATAGGAAACAAATTTTTAGAGTTTGGATAATTTTAAGATTTTTTTAATTACATTTAGAATAAAGACAATTTTATGAAATTTATAATTAGTTTTGCAAGAAACTCTAAAGAGATTATGACTATTTTATAGGAAGATTTTCCTTTTATTTTTTTTTACTATTTTTTCTATTTTTTTTTGCACGTTATTTTAACCTTTTATTTATTTATTTTTTAATTTTCCATTAGGTGTTCACAAGTTGAAATAAATTTTTTTTATTATGGCTCATTTGGATAAGGAAGTCTTTTTTGTAAAAGGAGAAGTATTCTCAAAAGATTGTCTGCTTATCCAAATAAAAAAAAAGGGGGGGGGGGGGGTTGGAGAATGGGTAATGGGATGTTATTACAAACTAAAGAACTGAATCTTTAAAAAGGGGTAAAAGTTTAAGTAACCAACCAAGTGATTTACTAGGTATTCCTTTAAAATATTGTATGGTTATACATCTGAATAACGTTTTTGTTAGTTTTTCTGGTAAAGTTTTAATTAAATCTCTATCTAAATGCTTTAGACCATAAAAATGATAAGATATTGAAAAATGTATCATTTAACATAAAGCCTCTCTAATTGTTAAAACTTGAGATTTATTGGGATCACTTAGTATTTTTTTTGTTTTGATTTTGCAAGATGAAATAATGAAATTTAAAAGGAAATTTGTGAGTCGGCCTTGTTATTTTAGCAGAAATTTATATTTACATTGACTTACCCACGCGGCCGCACGACTATTGTTCATTTCGTGCTGCGGATCACGTAGAAATCGGTATTTTTCAGCAAAATGGGCAGTACTTTTAGCACATAACTTAGATTGATGAATGGTCGAAGACGTTGGAACAAAAGCTTCATAATCTTTATTTTTCTCGGCATTACCACAAAAAATCTTAATACTCTAGGAATCCCTTATGACCTTAATTCATATCCAGAGACATTCCAAAAGAAAAACTTATTTTTGATACATATCTAATATTAGAAATAATCAGATTTGAAGTCTATATGCATTTAAAGAACATCTCAGGTCATAGTTTGATGTTTTGGGGCATTACATTATTGATGTAAATATAATCATAAATACTCATGAAATACACTCAATTCTATATAGAAATACACTTGTATATAAATATTGGTTGAATAGTTTAATTACTATTTTTAATAGAAACACATAAATACATTCAAAATAGTAATAAAATGCAAACATACAAAAATTTTCAGTAATAAATAAAATGACATCAGAACATCTGACCTCTCAATTTAGAATTCAAATATTTTAGCAAGTGATAGTGCCCCAGTACAACCTTTATTGTTTTTTTTTTAATCCTTATATACCTTCTTCTACATTGCATCTTTTTTGTTATGGTTGGCAGTAATTAAATATATTTTCTCTTTTAAGACTTCTATTCAATTTCTGAAAGTTGACAACGCCAGTGTAGCATATCAACCATATATATCACATGTATATTATGTGTGTAATCAAGTGATATTAGTTCACCTTGAAAAACACTTTCTCCCAATATAGTAGAATATGTTTCAATTTCTTTTTCTTTTATGATTGATTATACACAATTAGAAAGAGAATTTTTTTAGATCGAAATCAACACACTAGCCATGAAAGTTCATAAACTTGTTGATTTAGGACTGAGCAACATCAAAGTAAAATGTACATAAACTATTGACCTATAAAATAAATCTAATCTTTCATAATTAACCTCTCAAAAAACAAAAAAATCAGTATTTTATGGTATAAAGAAAGTTCATATATAGAAGGTATTATACAAGCTCCCTCTTAAATTTCTTTATCCATTAAAAAATTCTTCAATTACAATCCCCTTCTTCCTCAACAATCTCCAATATTGGTTGATAAAGAGGAATCTTAAACGTCAATGTTCAAGGTTTATGAAGAATATGGGGATTATTATAAAGAAGTTTTTAATCGATGGATAAATTGAGGAGGAAGCATTCTGTACCTTCTGTACACGCCTTCCTCTTTTTTATCTTACAATACTTGCAAATTTTTTTTTTTTTTTTGTTTTCGGAGGTTAAAGATGAAATTTGAATGATTTGTTGCATAGGTAAATATTTTACGTACATCTTGATGATATTTAATCCTGATTCAACAAGGTGTTTGACTTCATGGCTACTATGTGGATTTTTATCAAATTAATTCATCTCATACAAATAGTGTATGACTACAATAGATAAGGAAAGGAAAAGTACTTTGTATTAGCAAAAATAGTCATTCAAGAAAACAAAATGGAATAGATTTATTCAACCTTATCATGGAAGTTGTATGTGATTTTATAACACCAATTTCATTATACGGGTTTTTGCCATTGAAGTTAAGCAAAGGAAACATTTGTTCTTCTTTAGACCATCTTCTTGAATTCCACTTGCATATTCTTCAAGCTCCTATGCAACATACTTGATATAAGTATAATACCTAATGTGCAACTTTATTCCTACATGAATGTGATGTAATACTTTATGCAAAAAGTTCTAAAAGTTATATGACCATATAAATTTTATAATATGTTTATATTCATTAGTAAAGTGATGTTTGTTTTTCTTCTTTTAAGTATATGCCTATTCAGAATTTATCACACAAATTAAACGTGGAAAGTTATCACTTATGTTAAGGACATATTAAGGATCTTACTTATAGGTTAATAACTCACTTGTATATAAGTCTCAAACTACTCTGAGGAGAATGTCGATATTAGTATAAAAAATATTGAAAACTTAATGTAATCCACATTTGGACATGATTTAAAATAAAAAATTTCAATAAAATTGATTTTAAGTAGAAGTTTTCTTTAAGTATGCAATTTGAATCTCTTTATTATACTTTTTTTGTTATAGAATTATGAAAATCACACAATTGAAAATGCTATCAATTTTTTTTTAAAAAAATTCACATAATGAAAAAACATAGACCGGAGTACCCTAAGTTGGAACATTCATAAATCACGTACCTGTAAATACCTTAGTATCCATTTTTGTAGTTCTCTTTGATTTCTTTAAGAAGGCCCAATCTCCTCTTCAAGGCTACACAGTTCTCCATAAAAATAATTCCTCTCACCAATAGTGTTTCTTGAACATTTTTCTATTATTATATATAATATAACACTAAATGCACACTGAGAAAAATTAGCAAAACATCGTCTTGCTTCAGTTGGTGATGCACCAAAACTGTGGTCACTCTCCTTCACATATAAGTAATTACTGCACGTTTTCTTTCTACCTTCGCTTCCCATGACATTCCAACTTCATTTCTTTTAGGCAAATAAGCCTTCCTCAAAATTTTCTTATTTTTATTTGATGAAACATGCTAACAAATCGAATTTAGCAAATGAAACTCCTGAGTTGAAACAATTTTTTTTTTTTAATTTTGGCTCATTTGGATGGGGGTAGGAAAATGGGTAATGGGTGTTATTACAAACTAAAGAACTAAATTATTACAAAAATTGTAAAAGTTGAGGTAACCAAACAAGTGATTTACTAAGTATCCATTCAAAAATATTGTTCGGTGATATATCTGAATATCGTTTTTATTAGTTTTTCTGATAGAGTTTCAATTAAATCGCAATCTAAATGCTTTACACCGTAAAAATGATAAGATATTGAAAGACTTATTATTTAGCATAAAGCCTCTCTAATTGTAAAAGCTTGAGATTTATTGGGGTCAATTAGTATTTTTTTGTTTTGGTTTTGCAAGAGGAAATAATGAAATTTAAAAGAAAATTTTTGAGCCGGCTTTGTTGTTTATATTTCTCTCTCTTGTGTTTTGACACTTGACTTGCACATGTAGCCATACATATATCGATACTAAACATTTCCTCGGGAAGAGTTGAAGTAGTTTAAAGTAGAAAATATTTAAATTAAGGTAAAATACAACACATTAAATTTTACAAGAAAATGTGACAAGTTGTAAATTTCACTTTGCACACGTAAGTTATCTGAGATTTATTTAATTTCACAATTTCTTGCAGTTTTGTCATAAATTTCACGGGATGCACACAAGTTGTCGAGGTCATCACAAATGTACACAACTAAACTGTCCAAAAAAATTGTAAAGAGGATTGAAAAATACAAGACAAAATAGTCTTTTAGTAGGGGTTCTTATATCCCCACAGATAAGATATGACAATATAGCTTAGTTTTTGTACTGTGAAAAGAAAATGAGGCAAAAGCTGCAAATTTTATGTGATGCACCCATGTTGCATGAAACTTACTTTATATTACAATTTAGTGCATTCAAATTTTACACTTTTGCGTTCACTAATACATAAAATTTATAAAATCGTCACACTACTTGTGATGCAAGACATTACATTTTTTATCTCAATAAATTATTATATCCTTTTTACATGTTCATCCACACTTTTGTAGTACATTAAACATGTATAAGTGATAGTGACATTTAGATTGTCAAAGCTCATTTTTTCTTATTTAAAGGATATATCTCGCGAGATGGGGGATCTTGCGTGGACCTTACAACATTACAAAGAGGGAGATACTCGGGAAAAACCTCCAAGTATAAAGCCAAAAGACCATTACATCTACAACTAGCAAATGTAGAGGCTAACTAGACTATATTCAACAAAAGAATTTGAAGGGCCACTTAAAATAATAATTCTCTAGTGGCCCTTCATAGGAAATCATAGTGGCTGAAAGAACAAGCTTGAGTATCGTTTAGTCCTTATTTGGGTAAAATCAAAAACCATAATGTGGAACTATGGTCTCTAATACATCTCCTAGTTCTTGAACTATGTTTACACCATAGGATACTAGCTAATGGATCCACATAGAAAGCTATGTCATATTTGGTTCTACTTTAGCCAGTAGACCGCCTTCTTTCTGTGTGGTGACACTGGATTCTATGTTAGCTGACATGGTTTAATGTCGGTTAAGGTGAATGTTCCCTCAAGTAAAATGAAAGACAAGTAAATGGAAGTTGACTAAGGTTACTTGAAGAGTCTACTTAGTATAGGTAGGGGTATGAGACTCTACCTAGACATTGCACAAGTTGACTCTAAGGGAAGTCCTAGGAGATTGTTGTTATGCAAAATGATAACATGAAAGGTATGATGCTTATGATACATTTTGTTGCTCTTAAATGAAATTGGTTACGTTAATGAACATCTTATTAGTCTTTATTGCCTTATGAGGTGATGACTACTTATGTTACAAGTTCTATGAAGATAATCTTTGCTTATGGTCTCCTATCTTATCGACTTGGTAATGTGGGGTTATGGAGCTTCACATGACCATTGCACTTTATGTTGGGGATGGCATCATTGGTAAGTGTTTTGTATGGTATGTTTGTATGATCTATTGAATATGAAATATTAACATGACACTATGATAATTTGTCTTTGATTATGGTCATGTCTTATGTTGATGAAATCCTTAACTTGTATATGTTTTATGGTATTTACATTGAAGATTTTCAAATGAATTATCATGTTTTTTAAGAAATGATCTTTTTCATGGATGTCCTTAAATGTTATGTGCATATACCCATACTTAGTACATGTGGCATACTAATCCCATTACTTTATATTACTACAAATGAAGGGTCCGGCCACTGAAGATTTAAGAAGGTCGATTAAAGAAGCTTGGAACTCTTTCTCCAAGTGTTGGTAGGTCCTGTTTGGTGATGATATCTTTTCATTATTCTATCTTACGAAGAAATTAGTAGATTTTTAAGAATACTGATATTTCCATTTATGTTCTTTGGATTCTTTTGCATTAAGGCCAAGATGGCTTATTGACTATTTATTCGCTAAATCCAAATTTGTACTCTTTAGATGATTTTTATATGTGAGACATGTTTCAGAATATTGTATGCATCCTATTATGATTGTTAATTATGAAGTCTAAGTACACATCACATAGTATGTAAAAGATTTAAATATTCCATAATCTTATCTGATGACATATAATGACGAATGCTAAGTGTTTGTCTGAGTCCTCTGGGAGGACGACGATACCGATCGCATTAGTGGGTGCTCTCCGATGTGATAGTCACGCTTCGAGCTACCCCCGAGACACAGACATGGGACCTAGGACCACATGTGATACCAAAATAACACTGCTAGCATGATCACGAGCATACTAAAGATAATAAACTGATGCGGAAGCTAAAAGATACTTAAAATGAAAAGATGGAGAATACCCACATGCTAAAACTGATGAGTTTAATACAAAAAAGTTATTAACTCAATACTAAGTTAAAACTACCTATGTCTGAAATAAGCCTCTAACTGACTAAAAATGTTGGGACAAGACCCATTCAAGTCTAGCAAAAACTGAAACTAAATGACTAAAAGACTGAAATGAACTCATGACTCTTGTCCTCGGTGAATGAGGACTCACCACTGATTCTGCTGAACTAAAGATCGGGAATCGATCTAAGCATGGTCTGCATGCTGAGAACCTGAACCTACATCACGAGAAGATGTAGCACACATATGTGTCAATACTTTAAAGGTACTGATCATGTAGGATACAATAAAGATGAAATAAAGCATAACTGAACAAGTACACAAGCAAGTATAATATTCTGAACATAATATACTGAATTCTAAGCTAACTAGATGAAATGACCAAGTTTATAACATGTTGAGACTGAATACTAACTGAACATTAAATATGGTCAATGCAATAGAGTATGACTGAACTACGGGAGCTACTAACAACCGAAAATAAAACCACATGAGCTAAATGTGAAGTCTGATGCATATGTCTCATCATGAGGACCCAATATACCCTGCCATAGGTATAAAGGCATGCTAGGTATAAAGGCATGCTAGCGTGATCACTAAAATGATGTCCATAGAGGGGACTTACACCTATTTGGCTAGTAATTCTGGGACAATTGGGTACGATGAACCCTAGTCCAACTCGGTATTATGCTACTCACAATGAATTAAATGATTAATATATTATGAGTGAATTTCTGTAAATACTAGATAGCTCAAAACTGAATATGCAAACTGAGAATGCAACATATAATCTGATAATGATGCATTAATAATTGAGGCATGTATATATGAAGTAACTGAAATTTCTGACCTAGCATGTGTAATTCAAGAACTAAAGAAATACAGAGCTAGGGTTCTGGAATTCATGCGATAAAAGGAATAGTAACTTTACAATCTGATTTGGAACATATATTTAACTAATTTGTAATGATCTGCTGTAAGTTGAGAAACCATAATCATGATAAGAGAATCAAGAACTAAATGAAAACAAGGGACCTAATGGGTGAAAGGAACCCACTAGTAAAATCCCACATACGTAGTGATTAAATCCACGGAGAAATAATTATATTTCAAGGCTGAACAAATGGAACCTTGTTACGTTCTTAAACTAGGATTCTTGACCTTTTTCTCCTTTCTTGCTTCTAATTTTCTAAGTTTTGATTTATGAGTTTGACTTAGGTAAGTTCTTGTTATATTTCTAGACTTGAACTCACTTGAATTTGATAATTTAGTGATTAAATGGTGTTTCTTAGGGGTTAAACGAACTAGGAAAAGACAACAAGACCCCTAAAAATTTTGTTGTCTGACCACACGACGACCTGGACTGACGGGCGATCGTTCAATCGACGGTTCGTCGTTTGGGTCTTCTCGACATGCCTTTACTAAAACAGACATAACTTTTTACTCGGAGGCTAGATTTTAGCAAACTCGCTAGCTACGGAAAGATAATTCAATTATATATCATTTAATAAGTCATTGTACACCTAATTCAGTCTGTGATAAAAGTTATGACCATTTGAAGTTGACCCAACATCATTTCTCCCCTAACTAACTGCTAACTGTCACCTACGGTCCGTAGATCCATTTACGGATTTTACTTGTCAATCGTGGTTCAAGTTTGAGGCTAGGTAAATGGGTTCTTGATCCACGGACACAGACTACAGACCGTTATCTGACTTACGGACCATAGTTGTATCCGTGGGTCAAGACTTAGCTAATTTTTCTGAACTGAGTTTTGGGAGAGTTTTAATGGTAAATGAGGGATGCATAGTATGAGCCGTATATCAAACTACAGTCCTTCGATTGAACTTATGAAAATATGATTTCTAGTCATTTTTTGATACAGGGTGTTACAATCCCCAATCTACCGAGCCCGCTCTTATGGGTCTCTCCTCCTTCAGTTGCCCATACAAAACTAGAGCCACATCTTTTAGTTGATAGGTGGATAGTTTTGCCTTTTTTTGTTTAGACACTACCATAACATCAAGCACCTTAAACACTTCATCAATGAACCCTTGTGGGTCTTCATCCACATGGAAGCCAAAGATATAGAGGGTATCATTCTTTTGAAATCCCTTATTCTAGAAGTGATTGTACCGACATTAGAAGTGCCTTAAACACTCGTATTCCTAATTACTTGAGTCGTTAAACCATAAGTGAATGTTTGGAGATCCATCCTAATCTACATATTTTTCATAGCCCCCTCATCATTAGGAACTTGAGGAGAAGCTTACGGTGGAACTTTAAGAGGAACCTCTTGCTCCTCTTCACCTTCCCCATTTCTCCTAGTATTAGACCTTGTATTTTCCTTAACTTGAAAAAGCATAGGCAAACATTAGAAGAATGACCTATACTAGCTAAACTTCCATAGCGCGGCTAAGAGAATGAAGAAGTGAGTTTCCTAAGCACCCAATAACATCCTATCCATAAAATGTGGCGCGCTTCACACTTATGAACAAGACTCTACTAGATGTGGTTCGAGACATCCTAAAATCATCCCAAGACCCTATGATTTGATACAAAGTTTGTCATGCCCTGAGAGCACCCCCTAGATTCGAAACAACGTACTTGACCCTGAAGGGGTCATATACAAGCCCTTAACATAATCAAAACACAAGATAATAGAAAAATACGAAAAATTTTAAAACTTTTAAGATATATAATCAAAGTCGTTTTTAAAATTGCAAATGGAGGTCTTCTCTAACTCCTTGTTGCACACTATCTAACTTGACTTGAAAATAAATCTTTGGGACTCACCCCATAGAAATTCTTAAGCATAAAAGTAAATGACATAAAGATAAAGTGGATGTTGTCCTCGAAGTTAGGAGGACTTACCAAGATCTTCAACTCTTCTAAATCCTTGAAACCTAGCCTTCAAAGCAACACAAACCTCCAACCCTACATTCGGTCAGAATATAGGCAATATGTGTTAGTACAAAATGTAAAAAGTATGGAAACTAGCACAACATCATAAGATCATCTCAAGTGGTTTGTCAACATAATACATAAGCATAAAAGACAAAAACATAATCATAAGGATTATCATCATATTAATAGAATAATCTCAAACATAATTAGCCAATTCTTCATCATAAGCATCATAATCATAATTAGCCAATTCTTCACATAAGCATCATATAAGCTTAATTGACCCTTAGTCATCTATACCCTAATAGCACCATTCTAAAGTAACCTAAAAAGCATAAAAGTGTAAAGCAAGATTAGCATCCCATAATACTACCCAATCCATGTATCCCCTTTTGGTCATCTTAATAATAGCATACATACATGGTCTAAGTCTTAAAGCTATTCTACCATAAGGGCACAATACTTCTAAATAATCCCAAGGCACACTTGTTTAATGCATAAAAAGCATCCCATACTATTGTTCACCCTCCTTTGGTATCACAGTTGGCTTACTTAATGTCGACAAGGGAATTACCATCAAGCATAACTCATGTAATACAAAACTCATAAGGAAACCTTTAGTCATACTTTTGCCAGGCATGAGTACCATCTCCTAGTAATACTTATATTAAGTACTCCCTAAGTTCATCATACTCATATTCCTTAAATAAGGACTAGCCCACTTATAAAATAATGGGAACTCTAGGAGACACTTCTCTATGTCTATCTTAGTTCCTTCTTATTTAGAACCCTAGGATATAATATCCTATGTATATCTTAGTTCATCATGCTTGAACCCTTGGAAATGCTACTTAAATCATATTTTTAGTTTATTACACGTAAGATTTTTGAGATGCTACTTAAAGCATAGTCTTAATTCATTAGAAGTGGGACCCTATGAGGAACTATCTTAAGCATGTCTAATTCCATTCATATTTTTGAAAAATTTGAGGTACTCAACTAGCTTATCTTAGTTTCTCAATACTTAGAACCCTATGAGGTACTTCATTAAGGACATCTTGCTTCATCATGGTGAGCTCTAAGAATTCCTTATGGCCTTAATTCATATGTAAAGGTATCCCCAAAAGAAAAAATTGTTTTAAATACTTACCTAATATTAGAAATTATCACATTTGAAGTCTATATGTATTTAAAGAACGTCTCAGATCATAGTTTGCATTTTTGGGGCATTACATTATTGAGGTAAATACAATCCCAAATACTCATTAAATACACTCAATTCTATATAAAAATGCAGTTGTATATAAATATCGGTTAAATAGTTACTATACTATTTTTAATGAAACACATAAATACATTCAAAGTAGTAAGAAAGTGCAAACATGCAATCATTTCTTACTAATAAATAAATATTATAAAATAAAATGACATGATAACCTTTGACCTCTTGACTTAGAATTCAAATATTTGAGCAAGTGATTGGTTTCCCTTTACAACCTTAATTGTTGTTTTATCCTTACATACCTACCCTTACATTGCTTCTTTTTGGTTATGGTTCGCAATAATCAAATGGTTTTTAATCTTTGAAGAATTCAATTTTGTTTAATAAACTTGACAGTGCCAGTGTAGTATATCAATAATATATATCACATGTATATTATGGGTGTAATCAAGTGGTACTAGTTCACCTTGAATAATACTTTCTCCTATTGTAGTGGACTACGTTTAAATTTCTTTATCTGTTGTAGTTATACACAATTATAAACAAAAAAATTAATTATATTGAAATAAACATATATACTATCCATGAAGGTAAACAAACTTATTGATTTAGGATTAAGCAACATCAAAGTAAAATTTACATAAAGTATCGACCTATATAAGAAACTGTTCTTTCATAATTTACCTCTGAAAATAAAAAGAAAAAATCAGCATTACATGGTAAAAATAAAAATTCATATATAGAAGGTATTATTCAATTTTCCTCTCAAATTTATTCATCTATTAAAAATTTGTTCAATCACCATTCCCTTCTTCCTCAACACCCTCGAACATTAATTGATAAAGAGGAATCTTAAATGTCAATGTTCGAGGTTGATGAGGAAGATGGGGATGAATATAACAAATTTTTAAATCGATCGAGAAATTTAGGATGAAGCTTGTGTACCTTCTATAAATGGCTTCCCCTTTTTATCTTATAATACTTGCAAATTTGCTTTTGTTTTCAGAGGTTTAAGATAAAATTACAATGATTTGTTGCATAGGTGAATAGTTTATGTACATCTTGGTGATATTTAATCCTAATTCAGCTAGGCCTTTTACTTCATGGCTAGCATGTTTATTTTCATCTAATTATTTCATCTCATTCAAATTGTGTATAACTAAAACAGACCATCTTCTTGAAATCCACTCCCATCTTCTTGAGCTTCTCTAAGTATAACAACTAATGTATAACTTGATTCCTACATGAATGTGAACGAATAATTTACGCCAAAAGTTGTAAAAGTAGTTATATTCCTATTCAAAATTTAACACACAAATTAAACTTGGGAAGTGATCACTTAATTTTAGGAAAGGTTGAGGATCTTACTTATAGGTTAATAACTCACTTATATACAAGTCTCAAACTAATCTGAAGATCAAGTTGTTAATCGTATAAAAAAATATTGAAAACTTGATGTAAGCCACATTTGGATATGATTTGAAATCAGTAACTTAAATTACATTAATTTGAAGTTGAAGTTTTGTTTGATCATACAATTTGAATTTCTTTAATTATACTTTTTATTATAAAATAAGGAAAACACACAATTGAGAATGCTATCAAAATTTTGTCGATTCATATACAATCTTACCAAATGAAAAACATAGATCGAAATATCCTATCTTGGTACATTGATAAATCACATACCTAATGACACCCTTGCTAGCTTAGTTTTTTGTAGTAAATTGCACAACCTGAATAAGAAGTATCAGTGTTTTCTTCCACGGGATCCATTATTCTAGTTCTCTTTGAATTCTTAAAAGAATTCCCAATCTCCCTTTTAAGGCTACTGAGTTCTCCATAAGACAATTCCTCTCACCAATAGTGTTTCTACAATAATTTTATTTATTGTTATACATATAACACTAATTTCTCAATGAGAAAATATAGAAAAACATCGTCTTGCTTCATTTGTTGTGGCAATGTTGCTTTGTTTTTGTAGTGTGAAAAAATGAGACAAGCTGTAGAGTTTACGTGATACACGCATGTTGCGTGAAATTTACTTTATTTTACAATTTATTGAATTAAAATACTACACTTTTGAGTTTACAAACATATAAAATCAAAAAAAAAATCGTCACACTACTTGTGAGGCATGACATTAAATGTTTATATCTCAATAGATTGTTATATTCGTTTCACATGCTCATCCTGACGTATGTAGTACACATATACATGCATAAACTGATAAAGGCTTTTTGATTCTCAAGGAATATTTTTATTATTATTTTAAGAATATAGCTCATGAGATGGAGGGGTTTCACATCACCCCTACCTTGAATATTTAGTAATTTCAGTTTTATAAAGAGGGAGATTTTCAGAAAAAAAATCCAAGTATCAAAGCACTATTATATGGGGCTAACTAACCTATGAACAACAAAAGAATGTGAAGGAAGACTTAAAATAATAATTTTCTAGTGGCCCTCCTTAAGGAATCGTGGTGGCTCAAAAAACAAGCCTAGTATCTTCTAGCCCTTATTGGGTGAATTCAAAACCTTATAGGATAATTCATGAATTAAGACTATGTAAGGTGTTGTCATGATAAAAAAAAATCAGGGTGATGATGATACCTACTAAACTCAAAAATTGATAAAACAACTCATTGCACAGAACCATCAGCAACAGACCTAGAAAGTGGAATCAATAAAAATATTCTAAATAGTCAAAGAAACACCATGTAACACCCCATATCTAAAATAGATCAGAAATCAATTATTCAGATATCTGCAGGTGCAATCGAAGGTTACCATTGACGGACCATAGCCTGACCTACGGCCCGTACAACAAATCCGTCATTTCTGATTGAAACTCCCCCAAGACGCAGCCCAAAAATTAGACTAACTGTCGAACGACTTACGGACCTATGGTCCGTGGGTTAGACTGTGATCCGTAGTCTGTGTTCACTGATAAACACTCCATTTACCCACTCTCTGAAAAGAACCACGATTGACCAGCACGGTCCGTAGATGGACCTACGGACCGTAGGTGGAAATTAGCAGACAGTTAGGTGGAAATTGCAGTTGGGTCAACTTCAGTTGATCATAACTCTTAGCACAAAATGAATTAGGTGTCCCATGGCATACCAAAATATTGATAATGGAATTAGCTTTCCATAGTCATCGACCTTGATAAAATTAGACCGTCAAGTATAAATTTATGCCCGTTTTAGTAAAGGCATGTCGAACTGACCCAACCTACAGACACAAACGACGGGCCATTGATTAAATGACGATCTGTCAGTCCAGGTCGTCGTTTGGTCCGACACTAATTAACATCGGGGTCTTTAGTCTTTTCTCACTTCGTTTAAATTCTAACTATGTTATTTTGACCCTAAATCATCAGATTTTAGTTAGTTTAAGCCTAGAAACATAACTAAAACTTACATAACTGAAATCATTAAATCAAAACTTAGAAAATTAGAAGCAAGAAAGGAGAAAAAGGTCAAGAACCCTAGTTCAAGAACACAACAAGGTTCTAGCAGTTCCATCCCGGAATCTGAATATTTCTCCATGAATTTCATCACCAAGTATGTGGGATTTCACTAGTCGGTTCCTTCCACCCATTGGGTTCCATGTTTTTAGTCAAATTAATAATTCCCGTATCATGATTAGATCTAGGGTTTGTAGAACTTCAACAGAACTTCATAAAAATAATTAGCTATATGTTACAAATTAGATTTCCATGTTATTACTTAATATCCCATGAATTTCAAAACCTAAGTTATTTATTTCTTTAGTTCTTAAATTACACATGCTAGGTCAGATATTTTATTTATTAAGTTATACATGCCTCAGTTATTAATGCCATTAATTAAATGTTTCATTCTTAGTTTGCATGTTCAGTTTTGAGATATCTAGAATTTATAGAAACTCAATCATAATCAATTAATTAACTCAAGGACATGGAACAAGCATGGTATGTGCAATGGAGGGATAATAGGCCATTGAGGGGTGGTCAGTTGTCTTGGGAAATCTTTAAGAAAACTTTTCTAGATCGGTTCTTTCCTAGGGAGATGATGGAGGAAAAAGTGGTGGAATTCATCAACCTTCACCAAGGAGGAAGGAGTGTCCACGAATACTCCTTGGAATTCATTAAATTTTCCAAGCATGATCTTTCTTTGGTTTCCGATCCTAGAGACCAAATGAACCATTTTGTAATGGGGGTGTCGAAAGATTTAGAAGATGAGAGTCGTTTGGCAATGCTACATGATAACATGAACATTTCTCGTCTTATGGTTCATGCTAGAAGGGTTGAGGAGGCAAGGGCTAAGAGAAAGAGTAGGATGCTAAAAGGAACAAATTATTTGAGGTAGGTTTTTCAAAGAATAGGTTTTAAATCCAAGAAAAGCCTAGATTTAATAAGTGGATTTCTAATCAAGTTTCATCCAACTTCCCGAAGGCTCGTGATGACATGGGAAATAAATTGAGAGATAAAAAGGGAAGGAATTGAAACTCACCCAATTAGATGCCTACATGTCCCAAGTGTTGAAAGGGTCATCTTGGTGAGTGTTTGGTAGGAGCGGGAAATTGCTTTAGTTATGGCAAGAGTGGTCACAAGATGAGAGATTGTCCAAACTTGAAGGGTCAAGAGAGGGGTGGTCAAGCTCAAGCAAGTGGTTCTAGTGATGCTCCAAAGAAGAACCGTTTCTATGCACTTCCCTCTAGGGGTGAGCATGAGACTTCTACCGACGTGGTGACCGGTATGTTGAAAGTTTTCTCTGTTGATGCTTATGCCTTACTTGATCCCATTACTACTTTATCATTTGTTACACTTTTTGTAGCTAAAAAGTTTGAAATTTTTCCCAACATTTCTCATGAACCTTTTTTAGTGTCTACTCCAGTGGGCGAGTCAGTTGTTGCAAAAAGAGTGTACAAAAATTTTCCTATAATGTTGCCCAATAGAGTTTCTTATGTTGACCTAGTAGAACTTGACATGTTTGACTTTGACATTATATTGGGTATGGATTAGTTGCATGCATTTTTTGCTTCTATTGATTGGGACAAGATTAGTGAGGTTTAACTTCCCAAATAAACCCGTTGTTGAGTGGAAGGGGGGGAAATTCTATTCCTAGAGGTTGTATCATCTCTTGTCTAAAAGCATGCAAAATGATCTCAAAGGGACGCCTATATCATATAGTAAGAGTCTAAGATTTAGACTCCGAAATTCCTCCCATTGAGTTGGTACTCATAATGAGTGAGTTTTTGGAGGTCTTTCCTAATGACCTTCTCAGTATTCCTCCCAAACGGGAAACTAATTTTGGTATCGATTTTCTACCAGAAATGCATCCCATTTCAATTCCTACTTATCAGATGGATTTGGCTGAATTGAAGGAGTTGAAGGCTCAACTCAACGATTTTCTAGACAAGGGTTTTATAAGACCTAGCATTTCACCGTGGGGTGCTCTAGTGTTGTTTGTAAAGAAGAAGGATGGCTCCTTGAGAATGTGTATTGACTACCTCCAACTCAACAAGGTCACCATTAAGAATAAGTACCCTCTCCCTTGGATTGATGACTTGTTTGATCAACTCCAAGGAGCTACTTTTTAAAAATTGACTTGAGATCGGGTTATCACCACCTTAGGGTGAGAGGTGAGGATGTACCAAAGACGGCCTTCCGGACTAGGTATGGGCACGATAAGTTCTTGGTAATGTATTTCGGTCTCACTAAATCTCCAACGGTGTTCATGGACCTAATGAATAGGATGTTTTGAAATTACCTAGATTTACTTGTCATTGACTTCATTTACGATATCTTGGTTTATTCGAAGAATGAGAGTGATCATATGGGTCATTTGAAGGTAGTATTGCAAACTCTTAAGGAACATCAATTATTTGCCAAATATAGCAAGTGTAAGTTTTGGTTGAGGTCGGTGGTACTTCTTCGGCACATCATCTCTAGTGAGGGAGTTTAGGTAGACCTAAGGGAAACGGAGGCGGTGAAAACTGGCCTAGACCATTGACTCCAACCGACATTAAGAGTTTTTTGGGTTTAGCGGGTTATTATCGGAGGTTTGTGGATGGTTTTCCGTCCATTGCATCTCTCTTGACTACTTTGGCCCAAAAGTATAAGAAATTCGAGAGGTCAAACACATGTGAGAAAAGTTTCCAATTGTTGAAAGATTGGCTTACTTTGGCTCCGGTATTGACCTTACCGGAGGGTACAAAGGAGTTTGTTGTGTATTGCGATGCATCGTGTGTGGGTTTAGGGTGTGTGCTTATGCAACATGGGAAGGTGATAGCCTATGCTTCTAGGAAAATTAAGGTACATGGATAAACTATCCCACTCATGACCTTGAGTTAGCGACTATGGTGTTTGCTTTGAAATATGGAGACATTACTTGTATGGGGTTCATATTGATATCTTTACCGACCATAAGAGCCTCCAATATGTGTTTACAAAAAAGAGTTGAACCTCCAACAAAGGAGGTGATTAGAGTTGTTGAAAGATTACGATATGAATGTCCTCTATCACCCCGGCAAGGCTAATATGGTGGCGGATGCCCTAAGTGGTATGACTATGGGTAGTGTATCCCACGTTGATGAAGCCAAGAAAGACCTAGCGAAGGAAGTTCATAGGTTGTCTAGGTTGGGGTAAGGTTCAAATGTTCTCCAAATGGGGGTGCCATAGTCCATCATAAATCCGAGTTATCTTTAGTGGTTGAGGTGAGGTCCAAACAACACCTTGATCAACTATTAATGGAGTTGAAAGAATCGGTTCTCGGTAAGTTAAATGAGTCATTCTCCTTAGGGGGATGTTGTGTTAAGGTACCAAGGGAGATTTTATTTTCCCGATGTACATGGGTTGAGGGACCAGATCCTTGAAGAAACCCATGGGTCCCACTACTCCATTCATCCTGGTTCGAAAAAATGTACCATGATCTATGAGAGATATATTGGTGGGAAGGTTTGAA